AGCAGGAATTCATATCCCAGCTCAGTGGCCTCTGGCTCAGGGGCCTCGGGCATGTTAGTGGATTCTTAAACGGCACTTTCCTCCTATGAAATCATGTTAATCGCTCTACCCACTTCAAGAGGATTTTCATTCCATCCTTTGCCTATGGGCCATCTCTGATCTGGAGGGCCGCTCTATAGCAAGGCAGGGGTGTCCCTGAGCGTCCCTTTGACTAGAGGCTAATCAGATATGCTCTGGGATCTGGTCCAGTCTTCAGGCAGCAAAGCGGAGCATCCTGGTCAGGCTCCTCCTCCTGAGAACTTACTTCTACCTGTGAAGGGCCTGGGCCCTGGCTCAACCCCATGGCTATGTCCAAACAAGGCCATTTCCTTCCTTTAACTAATGCCACACCTGAATCTGAACTAAAACAGGACTGGCCTCTGCGTAAGTCCCTGCCCTCCTCCATCTCCAATCTCTGCCCCTGACAGGCAGCTCTTAATCACTCATTGCCAGTGAGCATTTTTTGGCTAGAGTATTTTTTTCCCAACTTTGAGATATAAATGACATATAACATTGTGCAAGTTTAAGGTGTGTAACACGGTGATTTGATACACATATATACATCACCATAATACAGCTAATTAATACATCCATCACCTCATATGGCTACAATGAGAACATTTAAGGTTTACTCTCCTAGCAACCTTCAAGTACATAGTACAGATTATTAACTACAGCCACCATGCTGTACATTAGATCACCAGAACTCTTTCATCTTATAACTGGAAATTTATACCTTTGACGACCACCACCCATTCCTCCAGCCCCAGCCCATGGCAACCATCAATCTACTTTCTGTTTCTATGAATTTGTTTTGTTTTAGATTCCACATATGTGAGATCATATAATGTTTGTCTTTCTCTGTCTGACTCATTTCACTTAGCATAATGCCCTCAAGTTTCATCCATGTTTTTTGCACCAGGCAGGATTTCCTTTTTTACGGCTGAATAATATTCCATGGAGTGTGTGTGTGTGTGTGTGTGTGTGTGTGTGTGTGTGTGTGTGTGTATGTGTATTCTCTTTGAGATATGACTTAATTTTCTTTGGATTTATACCCAGAAGTGAGATTGCTGGACAATATGATAGTTCTATTTGTAGTTTTTTGAGGAATCTCCATAATGTTTTCAATAGTAGCTATATCTTTACCTTCAGGCAAACAGTGCACAAGAGTTCCCTTTTTTCTACACCATTGCCAACACTTGTTATCTCTTTTGTTTTTGATAACAGCCATTCTAACGGTGTGAGGTGATATCTCATTGGGGTTTTGTTTTATATTTCCCTGATTAGTGATGTTGAGCACCTTTTCATGTACCTGATGGCCATTTGTATATCTTCTTATGAAAAATATCTATTTAGGTCTTTTGCCCATTCTATTTATTGAGATATAATTGAAATATAACATTACATTAGTTTCAGTTGTACAACATAATGATTTGATACTTGCATATATGTATTACGAAATGATTACCACAGTAAGTCTACTTAACATTCATCACCATACATAGTTACAAAATATTTTTTCTTGTAATGAGAACTTTTAAGATCTGTTCTCTTAGTGGCATTCATATATGCAATACAGTGTTATTAACTCTAGTCATCATGTTGTACGTTACATCCCCATGACTTATTTATTTTAGAACTGGTAATTTGTACCATTTGACCACCTTCACCCATTGTGCCCACCAACACCCCACCCCCTGCAAGATTTCCTTCTTTTTCATGGCTGAATAATATTCCATGATATAACTACCACTATCACCAATACTCACTACAAATTTCACATTTCACATTCTTTTATCCATTCATCCACTGATGGACACTTAGGTTGATTCCATGTCTTGGCTATTGTAAATAATGCTGCAATGAACATGGGGGCATATTTGTCTTTTCAAGTCAGTGTTTTTTGCTTCCTTTGGATAAATACCCAGAAGTGGAATTGCTGAATTATATGGCAGTTCTATTTTTAATTTTTTGAAGAAACTCTCTGTTTTCAACAGTGGCTACACTAATTTACACTCTCACCAACATTGCACAAGTGTTCTTTTTTCTCCACATCCTCAATAATACTCGTTATTTCTTCTCTTTTTAATAATAGCCATTCTAACAGGAGTGAGTTGATATCTCATTGTGGTTTAATTTGCGTTTCCCTGATGATTAGTGATGTTGAGTTCCTTTCCTTATACCTGTTGGCCATCTATACACCTTCTTTGGAAAAGAAGATCTTCTGCCTATTTTTAAATCAGATTTTTTAATTTTGCTATTGAGTTGTATAAATTCTTTATATATTTGGGGTGTTGACCCCTTATCGGATACATGACTTGCAAATATTCTCTCCCATTTGGTAGGTTACCTTTTCATTTTATTGATGGTTTCCTTTGCTGTGCAGAAGCTTTTTAGTTTGATGTAGCCCCCTTGTTTATTTTTGCTTTTGCTGCCTTTGCTTTTGGTTTCACATCCAAAATTCATTGCCAATACCAATGTCAAGGATCTTGCCACCTATGTTTTCTTCTAGAAGTTTTAAGGTTTCAGGTCTTACATTCAAGTCTTTAATCCATATTTAGTTAATTTGGGAGGTACTGTGTAAGATAGTGGTCAAGTTATCCCAGCACTATTTATTGAAGAGACTGTTTTTTCCCCATTATATGACTCTTTTGTAGTAAGTTAATTCACCTGTATGTGTGGGTTTATTTCTGGGCTCTCTATTTTGTTCCATTGATCTGTGTGTCTGGTTTTGTGCCAGTATCATACTGTTTTGATTACTACAGCTTTGTAAAATCAGGGAGCATGATGCTTCTAGCTTTGTTCTTTCTCAAGATTCCTTTGGCTCTTTGGGGTCTTTTGTGTGTCCATACACATTTTAGGATTGTTTGCTCTATTTTTGTGAAAAATGCCATGGGAATTTTGATAGGCATTGTGTTAAATATGTAGATTGCTTTGAGTTGTATGGGCACTTTTAAAAAATTAATTAACTTATTTACTTTTTATTTTTGGCTGCGTTGGGTCTTTGTTACTGTGTGCAGGCTTTCTCTA